AATGGCAAGAGCAGCTGTAGGTAGAGGTTGTGATGTTGTAGACTAAATTAGCCCCATTAGAGAAGGAGGCCAATAATTTAGTGCAGACCAATATGCTAGTTTTAGCGACAATACCTTCGAAGATACCTTTGAAATCGACAAAAAAATAGTAGAAGATGTTTGAGGAGCGCGACAAGCAAATTGTTGTCTTGAGTCTCAAGTACAGGAATTGGGTTTGTTAAACGAAGATCTGACTGCATGTTTGGATGGAGAACCATTGAACACCGAGGCACATGATGAAGATGTAACAGAGGATAAGGTCACCGATTCAAAGGGTGATAAGCCAATACCATTGATTGAAGAAACCAACGCTGCTACGTCTTTATAAGTTGAGGCTAAATAATGTTTGCAAAGACACTATAAAATTAGAAGTGGGGCTATGTAGAATAGGTAAATAAATTATGTGGTAAATTACTAGTTGATTATTGACAACCTTGAGAATTAGACTTATGGTTAGGCAATTTAGTTAATAACAATAGGTTGTTAGTGGAACAAATGGTTAAGAATTCAAAAGGTCATAACCTTTGGAATCTAATGGCAAACAGATCATCTTTTGGATAGGATGAAGAGGTTGAGAAAAGAAAAATTGAGGCCAAACTGTGAGAGTCATAAGCCGTGACAAGCTTGGTGCTACCTCTTTTTTTTCTTTACTTTTATTATTTTCTTATGAAGAATTGTGATTGAGAGAAGTATTCTTGAAATTTTTATTAGAATATTGTAGAATATAACTTTGGATTGATCGATTTGGAAAAAATCTGTGACCTTGAGAATTGAGATTATCAAATTGTGTTGTGTTAAGTGAAGATATTGAATTCCTGTGTGATGAATTGAGAAACTAAATATACTAAATAAGCTGGAGATTAGTAATTGAATATATATAAACTGCAAAGAGAATAAGTGGAAGATGATCGGATAAGAATATGGAAGTATTGTTGAATTGATAGTCATAGAATAGATTATATGTTGAATTAAGATGAAAGTAGTAAGCCTTGGTGTTTTGTAGTTTGATAATTGATTTTACATAGCTAGAGTACAGTCAATTGTGATACTAACAGATCCAATTCATATAACCAGTCTTTCCCCATGTTCGAATCCACTTCTATTAGTTCAATTTCTTTGATATATTGAAGCTTGAATACAACGAGAAAAACACACCTACCAATAAATTTGGATGATTGGACTTTTGGATTTTTATTTGACTAACAAAATCTTCAACTAAACTACAAAAAATATCAAGGTTACAAAAAATCTAATTTATTTGAAGGATATATTTTTTTAGCCATAATAATCATAATAAAATTAGATAGAAAAAATATTTAATCACATTAAATATTACTAAGTTATTATGACTAGTAGTTGCTACATCTAAAGAAATAGTTTCAAAGGTAATATCTCCAAAAGACAAAAAATGACCATCTTGTACTTCTACTTGCATAAGTTTGGTTTTTTTAATTAAGAATATTTCTTATTTTTTGACAAAGTATTTATTTATAAAATAAACTAAGACTTTTATATCTAATAAGACTAAGCCTTTGTGATTTTTTGCTTCTAAAAAAATTTCTACTATAAAACAAGGTAAAAGATTTGAGGAGAAGATATGACATTTATTACGTGTCACACAAGATTTTAGCCACATCATTCCTATTGTAGGTAAAAAAAAATTGGTTTTTTGATACATTATCCTATTTGGCAACTATACTCTTTATTTTTTGATTATATTACTTCTTTGAATAATATTGAGTAGTATGCATAGATTCTCAATAATATAGACACAATCTTTTTTATGCCATTGAGTCTTTTTTTATTCAATAAGAAGTTTGAAATATACTATATCAATTTACATAGATTCTAGTCTTGATTAATAAGCTTCTATGAACTTAGAAGTTGTTACCATGACTTGATTTATGTTTCTCTAACCAAATCTTTATTCTTTGAGTCTTTCAAAGAATTGATTGTTGCATGTAATAGTTTAAGCAATAAATTGCTCTAATAAATCTATTTTTGATATTACCAACAATAAATCTTTAATATTATCTTTTATTCTATACCAAAATTGATTGATAAAGGCCTTGTCATTTCAATCTATGTCGTAAGTACGGTTTTAGAATTCAATAGCACATATAGTAGCTAAACGTGATTTTTGTTGTAAAAATAGAAGTTTGGTCTTGCTATTTTTTTTCAATTATTTTTTCAAAATATAGTTATAAAGACTTTCAAGAATGAATTTAAATCACAAAATAGTCATGAATCATTTTCCATCAAGGGTACAAATCAAAAAAAAAAACACTCCTAAAGAAATGTGCACCTATAAATCTAATTTGAATTAATCTGTAAGGATATTAAGAAGGATGTAATCTTAGATAAAGCTTCACTTGTTGTAAAAATCCTCAAAACTTTGATCTTATTCCATCAAACTTCTCTAGCATATTTATCTTTACCTCTCTCTTATTAATAGTAGCAAGACTTCTTGGATTTGTGAAATTTATCTACTTGTTTCTTTCAATTGTATAATTTCTTGGTATAGACTTTGAACTTCATTGTTGACTTCTTCTATAAGCATTAGAATACTACTTCTATGGTTGACGTTAGAAATAAGTGAGATTACCACCCTAAAAGTATTAATAAGTTTGTGAAGGTTTATAATAGATACAAATCTATTCTTACTTTTACTAAGATTAGCATCCATAATTTTTTCTTTTATAGACAACTAAAATAAATTTATAAGTCAAATTAGAGGAAGATAATCTGCAATTTTTAATATCAAATAAGAGTTTTTACAAAGAGGGATAGTCCACTCTCTTGAAGGAAAAAATCATTGTTAGGAAAAAAATAAAAAAAATAAAGATATATAATTTATAACCTTCAAAATACAATAATAAAAGTGAAATAGTCCTCTTACTTCTAATAATAAGACAAAAATAATGAATTAACACTCTTGTCAAATTGTCAAAGATACAAATCTTGAAGAATCAAAAATTTAATACACTCTTGTAGAACTAAAAAAAATAGTTATTCATTCAAAATTAATATAATATTAAAACTATAATAATTATTACTTAAGACAAGAAGACTAGAAAGTCTTGAAATAAGACTAAGAACTAAAAAGGCATTGACAAGAGTGAAGAAGGCTTTATTCTTGCCTCCATATATATTATCTAATTAAAAGCTATATGACAACATTTTGTAAGACTTCCAACACATGTCTAATTTGCAAAATACATGTCTTAACTTGCAAAGTAAGTTTCCTATATGTACACCATATTGTTAGCTTGTACTACAACCTACCAATACATGTGATACATAGCTAACTCACTAGACAAGTTTCTATCCTATCAATTATCTATAGACATATATAAAGGTGAAATTGCTTTTATCAAGCTTCTAGAAAGCTTTTCCAAAAGATATTATCAAATTAATCTATTTTTATCTATTCATAACATTTAAATAACTATTGAAATAAACATATATGTCTATGGCATAAATATTGACAAGAAACACGTGACAATTATATTCTTGAAAGTTAGTATTGCTCTTATAATCATTGCAAAAACCTTCTACCTCATAAATTATCAAACAATGTATTGACACATCTACAACTAAAGATACAAATTAAAGGGAGAAATTCTTGTAGGTAATTGACCAATCAAAGCTTTGCTAAACATCCTTATTAATAAAAATAAATAAAACATGACTTTAAAATTAATAAAAATAATAGACTTATATAATTTATCTTTAAATCAAAAATTATTTAGGAGATTGTTAAAGAATATTTATTAAACCTAATCAAACTTCTTGATTGTATTTACAAAAAAAAAAAACAACTTTTCAATTTCAAAAGATAATAAAGTGCTATTTTTTCTAATACATTATTATTTAATTTTAATTATTATTGAATTAGACAAGTATCAAATGGAATTATTGCATGAAATAGAATTCATCTTCTACAAATCAATTATACTATTTTTTATTGTTTTATGAATAATAAAGAAGACTTGCATTGTAAATGGTTAGAGAGGAATTAAGTGTACCGCAATTCAATGTCTTAAAGTTTTATATAAAAATTTACAGTAATTAATCATTTAAAATTAAATAAAATGTATTTTAAGTCCAATCTAAGTTATTACTCTATTGATTATTTAAATTTCATATATCTATCCAACCAACTTTTACCATAGTCTCTATAATGGATATCATTTCAATTTTTATCCAAATAATACATATAAATAAATAAAGGCAAACAACCAAAAGATTTAAGAAAATGATATAATAATAGAAAAATAAAAAATATACAATACTATCTAAAACATAATATAGGGTATTTTTGTTGTGTAATATTTTCATAATGTTTTACAAATCAAATATTGTTACTGTATATGTCCCCTTCATAAAATAATCCACATTTGCACGAATTGAAAGTTGAAAAAATAGTTCAAATAAAAATAAAAAAACATATAATATAAAATCATAAAAACATATAAATAAATAAATACCACAATATGTATGTGGAAGAGGAGACTGCAGAGAACTTTGCAACGTGTAAATGAACAAAGTGCTACCAGCGAACGACATTCATCCCAAAACGGAAAAAGCAGAGGAGATTGGCCTAGTCCAAGTCAGCAGAGCAAAGCATTCAGCGACCACATAAAAACAGGACCAAGCTGCCAGGTGGACAAACACTTACACCAAGACTTGCAGTCTCGCCAATGAAACACACCCACATCAGATGCCACGTAGATTTATATCCCAGGGTGGTGGGTTGCCAGCTCCCCCACCCGCGGTGAGGCCCTTTTGTGAAGCGCGGCCCAGGGTGCTGGCTGCTGCGACCCTCGCAAAAGGGACGCGGCAGGGAATCCACGGTGGGGTTGGGTCCGGGAGAGGAGGATCGAGGGCGCGCATGTGTCGCCGGGGGGAATGATTTGCCGCAACGAGGAAAAGCGGGTCCGATGCGCAAAGGCCATGACCGGGGGTAGGGTTTCGTATAACCGGTGGACCGGTCCGCATCGCCCCTTTGCTTTCTAACTCTTATTCCTATCTCTTCAATCCTCTGCTTCACCGTCGTCGCTAATTCATGCTCTTGGAGTAGCAGATTGTCGTGTTCGGTTAGTTGGCGTTGTGCTGAGCTTTGTTGCAGCAATCAAAATGGCTGCGTCGTGTTCTATATAGCGTTTTTGGCGGTAATCGACGTGTGTAGCTGAAGAAGAAGAGTGGTGTAGCGTTTGGGTTGCGTTGTGGTGAAAGCGGTTGAACGTGCTCTCTATTGCCGAGTGGCACTTCACATTCAGTTGCAGATCTGAGGTTAGTTTGCGGTCGGATTCCGGTGTTTGGCTGCGTTGGTTGAGAGTTTGGACGGGTCTGAGTTTTCGAGTTGCTTGAGGCATTGGCAGAGTTCATCGTTGCCGCATGTGTCGTGATTTGCGGAAATTGGTCAAGATAGTATACTGTTGAAATATGGTGGTTTTTATTTTTATTTTTAGCTTACGGTTCTTGTAGGGATATCGTTAAGCTGCTGTATTGTAGACCTGGAGCTTATTTCGTCTTATTCGGGTTTTTTTTTTTTTTTTTTTTTTTTTTTTTCTTGGGTTTTTCCTTCCTCCCCCCAGTTTTGGTTTTTTTTGGCTTGGGTATACGATTACACGTTGTTGAATTGGTCGTGACGTTGTGAAATTTGGTTAACAGATGTCCATTAATGACATTTCGACTTACCTCGAAGGAGGTGAGAGCTGCGGCGGTGTACGACAAGAGGATGCGAGCAACTTGCTATGGTGTGACCACTGTTCCATAGCTTTGTGCTTCGACTGTGACACGAACTTACACAACTCAAAGAACCTCAATCACGGACACCTTCGAGTCCTTCTGCCTGCTTCACAGACCGAGTCGGTTCGAAAATGTGAGCATGGTTCAGGTGGAAGTGGCAACGTGCGTCTTGATTTGATCAACAAACCTTTGCTCACCAAGAGCAAGAGCAAGAGCAAGAGCAGGAGTAGTTCATCGAAGAATAAGAGGGAGAGGAGCTCCTCAACCACCTCTAAGCTTGAGTCTGGACGTAGGTCTCATTCATCTCGCAATGATCTACCAGAAGACTCATGTTCAAACAAGATTAGCGATGTCGGATATGCGTCAGTCAAAGAATCCCAAAAACCCGACTTGTCATCCCATGAGCCCTTACCGTGTTATAAGAAAACGCCGTCGGTACGTGTTAATATCTTCAATATCTTTATCCCTGCGTTTTGACCGGAATGCATGATTTACAGTATGAACCATCCTGGCTGTGTGATTTTCAAATACATGGGTCTGAACCAGTTCCTTTACCTTAATTGCCTTGTCTTGCAGAGCTCGTTGAAACTACTTAGGTCGGCCTTACGCGGTGGATATGAGGAAGCCGGTCTGGGGTCACGTCCTAAATTACATGTGACATGGCATCCAGATGTCACTGACCCCATATGCAGTATAGTTTCCCACACTGTCGGGCACAAGCGTGTTCCTGCTTTCTTATCACGTCGAAGTCAACAAAAGCAGATGCGACAGAAAAGCAAGGCATCGTCTAAGTCTCAGGCACGAGGTAGGAAACAGGGGACGAAGCTCAAGAACAGCGAACCTGTATATACGAGGTGCCTTTCTCTCCTCTGATACTTGTATCTGCTTATTGCTCTTTAAGTAAGTTACCGTGTCACGTTGACTGAAGCCAGGAAATACTACACAGTTTGACACGTTGTGTTGTGATGCAGGTCTGACTTATCATGCGATTCCATGAGGAATTCGTGCACAGAAGACGAAATGAATGAAATTCTAAGCACTTCCGCTTATGAAGAGTCTACCAATTTGGAGTGGAGCAATTGTACATACTGCACAGAAGGACAGAGCTTGTTTGACTGTGTAAATATACCCGAAGGCTGGAATGGCGGTCTTGAACCAGAATCTGTACTTCTTGATAGCGACAAACACGAAGAAATTCCTTCGAACGAGACTGTCCATGAGCAGTGTATGGCGAAAGTGGTAGATAGAAAGGCAACCACTGATGGATGTTTTAGTGAACGTCTACCTGAAGATTACTGTCACTTACTTGCGACCATGCTTCATGCCGCCTCATCACTTGGACAGGTATCTTTGCAGCCCATCGAGTGAGTCTTGCATATATTTTGCAACCTAGTGTTCCACATTGGGCGATCTTAACGTTGCACCCTCGTTTATTGTATGAAAATTTATCCAGTCATTGAACTAGTCGTTAAGCGATTTTTTTACTATGTGCTCTCCGGAGTGTCAGAACTACTAGTTCATTTTATCTCTGGCATGACCCTGCAGGAAAGAACAGCGCGTGAAAGTGCCAAATATGAAGCAGTTTCAGGGCTTTTCAGGTCAGTACTTCATTATCTCTTCTTTTGATCAACACGTGAACATAGTTTCCGACTACTGAGTTAGTGTAGCTTTGTCTGTCGATATAATGCGCTTACTCATGATGCCAGCGATTATATTTTCTAGTATCTCTAAAACGAAACTTGTTGGGAACTGCAGAGACATGGAGATCCGTGCTTCGAGTGCCAACCTATCTGCATCTGAAGTGGCCTTTAACCCACCAACCCAAAGCAAAATTTCAGCGTGGATTTCTGTCGTCTGATTGGTCGAAGATAATTTTAATGAATGAGGATTTGGATGCGAGAATTACAGGCGCTAGTTGAAAAAATATAGGTTTGGTTTCTGCCGGCACACCTGGATATTAGCCAAGTTTAAGAGCTGATACTTCTGTCAATTGGAGCTTCACATACTTTTATGTATGATTCAATTAACTATGCAAGAAATTCAGATTCAAGAAAAAAAAAAAAAAAAAAAAAAAAAAAAAAAAACTTCCGTGGTGCTCGTTGGTGCATCAACATCTGTGTGTCCTCTGATTTTGAATTCAGATTATGGTTAGATGCACAATCAAGTGCAGTTTCATTAAAGCATGGCCGTAACTTGGTGCAGATGAGGCACCAGTGGAGGGTTTTTGGGTCATTTGGAACTTGTTGTAACATGGAATTTTTTTTCTTGGATGGCCACGTGTATTCCTTGGCCTTCGTACTCCATTGCACTTAGCCCTACTATCAGTTCGAGTGATGGGCTGTGGTGTCGTCATCGAAGGTCTTCCCCAACACTCGCACTAAATCAATTAATTTTGGAATGAGCTTTTTCCTAAGCTGTACGAAAATTTATCTCCAGTTAATCATGAGTGGTCGGTATACAATGAGATGTAGCATAAGAGAGAATTTGGCAGCACATTGTAGAGCTTGCCAAACAAGTGCAGAGTGTCCTCATTCTGTTCTTCTGACGATCTCATGCCCAAATTAGGGTCAATTCTATGGTAGTCAATGGTGATGTGTGTTTTAACAGGTCAAAGTGCATTGGATAATTTTGCAGGAATATGGTCACAAGGGTTGATTGAAGGCATGGATGAAGATACATTTGAATTCCCAATGTCAAAGCCATCTTCAAAAATGTTATATGCTAGCCATACAAGCTTTGATTTTAGTGAAAGCAAGACCACACAATGCATGCCAAATTTTCTTCAGTCAAATTGCCCACTGCATGCTGGTAATTTATTCACTCATTTTAAACTTTGAGACATAAGAGGGTATCCCTTCGCTGATTAAAGAGGAGAATTTCAGTTTTATGGTCTGCAAGTGACTTTTACTCAGATTGAACTAGGCTTATTTTAGTTGGTGCAGTGTAGTTCCAACCAAGGTAGGGAACATCTTTTAGTTCTAATTTATCATCTATGATTCAGGTTTGTTCAAACATTTTGAGCAGTTTGATTTCATTTTGAGGTCTCATTGTATTGCTTCTAGAGTTTTTTCAAACATGCTTTCCCATAGTCAGGTAGCCTGTTCTATAGGACATATATTGCTTTGTTCTCTGGCCAAGCTTCTTGTTTAAAAATCATAACACTTCTTTGCTCTCTCATCTGATCCAAGAGCAGATTCCTACTATTAAAGGCCATAACATTTTCCTATCTTTGTTTGTGCAGGCTGGCAATTGGTGGCAGTAATACCCCCATTTGGAAGCACTTTTCAGTTTGGACTTTTGCTGGGATATTTGTGGTCCTGGGCTATCTGGATAAAAGTGATGGCTTCACAAAATGAGTTCATCATGCTGTGTTATGGGCTTGGTGCTTTTTAATCTTTTCTAAATTGTCTTTTATTGGAATAGATGAGATACTTTTGGTTATTGGGGACATTCTTACAGACCAGGTCTGCATTATTCTGCAAAGAGCAATTGAGGTGAATCTTCAAGATGTCGGCATCCCATTAAGCATGCCATTGTGTGTGCCCTTGAAGCCATGTGTACCAAATGCCATTTTGGAATGCGAGGCAGATTGTTATAATATTCAAGATATATATATATATATATATATATATATATATATGACATTGTTCAATGAATGAAGGAATAATGTAGCTGTTTCATTGATCTTTTGATTGTTTCTCAACTTGAATCTTTGCTACTTTCAAAAAAGATAATAAAAAATAAAAAATAAAAAATGCCAGAGGAATTTCTGTGGATGATTTTTTTGGGTTTTTGCACCAGAAATGTACAGTGTAATAGGGAGTTAGTCCTTGCAACATTTTGTGTTTAAAACAATGCTGGAGGTTCACATGACAACCAATTTGTAGCTCTATCATATATTATAATACAGAAGTGATACATTTATTTGGGTACCTGAAATTGTACATGAAATCAAAGTTGAAAACCTAATATCAAAAAGTTAGCATTTGATCCCACAAGTCAATTGTAAAATGAATTTAAATTTATTATCAAAATTACATGTTTTCTATTTCATAAAATAATCAGTATATAATTAATTAACTGATCAATTTAAATTTTTTAATAATAGATACATGGTTTATTGTTTTAAAAGAAATATACCTTAAAGGTCTAGGAGTTTACAAGAGCTATTGGATTGTGTTCACAAAGCACCCACTCAAAGAAATGACATATTTAGTGTTATAATATACCTAAATTATATAAATGAAGACATATATGAAATTATTGATAGTGCAATGTAACATCAATATATTAGAAATGTATTAGAAATATTCTGAAATTCCATTACTTTGTTGCATTAAAATTTAATTCATAATGATAAAATAATAAAAATTATGTTGAAACACTTAGATTAAAATATCAAAATTCAAGTTAAAAACCCTAATGAAGAAATTCTGAAATTTAAATCGATACAAAAATTATTTTTAAAGATAAAGACGAGAATAAAATGAATGATTTGAAAGAACATATGTAAGCAAATTTACAGTTTTAATTCTATTAGTAAGTGAAAAAGACTCAATTAAAATTTTATATAACTAAATAACTAAAAATTTGTACTCTTCTATTTATTGCTTCTTTATAATTTATTCTTTAACCTTGTTAATTTTATTATCTACATTGGTTAGAAAAATAATTATTATTGATAAATAGAAATTTCTTGGACTCTATCAGGGTTATATTTATATTTAAGTTTCATGAAAAAAAACTCTTTACAAAAATTTAATAATCAGCCACTATTGAAGTAATTGGAAGCAAAGCTACTTGGAAGTAATTCCTTAAGGCCAAAAATAAAAATATCCAAGTCTTATTAAGAAAAAAATCCAAATTTTTACTCCTTTGTTGATGAATAAGAAATTTATTAAATACGTAAAGATTATTAAAATTAAACAGTGTAAGTGTGTGTATCTTTCATACTAGACAATTTAGCATCAAGAAAACAACTTAGAGAAAATTTCATGAAAAACTCGTATTTAATACTATCTATTTGATCTTGTATAAGTTTCTTCTTGTCCTCAAAAACTTCAACACTTGTTCAAGTAGATGATTAACAAACGTTAGGAACTCTCTTTCCTTGTCACTATATTCTTCCATATTGTAGAACAGGATTAACAACTACAATTAAAAGAATCAAATAACCACAAAACAGAGGAGTAATGACTTGACATTAATAACCAATGGAAGATGACAATGTTCAATTACACTCACACATATTCACATTCACTCACACTTACTTGAACAAGTATTTTTTTGTGATACAAGTTTAAGTAAAAAAATCTAGAAATTGTTTTTTTTTTAATATCAAAATCTAGAAATAAAATAAAATAAAATCTTAATGTGAATATATGTATATTTTTGGAACATTGCAAATAACCCAGCATTTCTAATTGATTATATATTACTTATATTTATTACATATTTATATATCTGTCTGCATGTATGGATTAACAATAAGCAATGACTTAGTAAAAATTACTAATTTTTTATGACGAAGTTATTAATTTAGGGCTTAATGTCAACCTTTAGTTTCTTCCTCAGATGATAAAAAAAAATTAAGAAAATATTTTTGGATTTAATAAATAAATATAAAATACATTTATGATAATGTTGATAAAATATACATATATGTGATGATAAATTTATAAATCGATATTATGTATTTAAAAAAGATTTTAAATTTGCACATAAAATGATTTTGCGAATATAACTTAAGAATCACTAAGATACTGTTTTAATATTACAAGAGTTGTATATTTTATATGATTAAATTGAGATGAAAACTTTGTAAACTTTTCTGTCAATCAGTGCTACAGAAATGTGGGTTGCCTTCAAATGAATCAAACTCAGAAATGGGGAAAAATGCTTTCCCAACCTCTCTCTCTCTCTCTCTCTCTCTCATGCCTATTTCAGTTTCATGCGTTGAATCCGTTTCAGTTTTGGAATTGCTTTCTAATTTTATGCTGACATGCATAAAATCGTGGGAGTGGGTAAAAAAAACCACCCACAACCTCAGAAAGCGTCTCTGAAATCCAATATTCAGGCGACAGCATACTCTCAACTGATGCGTCTGAGGATTTATATTTATTTATTTATGGTCTTTTGGTGTATCCATGGCACTGAAATCTGGGGAAGGAATAAACAGCATCACCTGCACACACCAGGCAAGTCTACTGAACTGGACTGCCAAGTCCGGACTCTGCACACAAAACTAGCTCACAGTAACGACTCAACCTGGCCAATTCTACAACCACGAGGTCAAGACCACGTTACCAAGTTCATCAATCAGGCTAGTTAGTGATGTCGATGCCACGTTTCGGAACGATGTCACCCTCTTTGTCACTCTGGAAAGGATGTTAATTCACCAACAAGAGTCGATTGCAAGCCTCCGAACGCAACATAAATACTTCAATTGAGTAAAAACAACGGCGTGGTGTAGTAGCAGCAGGGTTCAGAAGCGAAAGGCAAGGCAAAGCAAGCTTTGCATACCAGGAGGGTGTGAGTTCGTCCGAGAATTACATCATTGTGATGTAAAATGAGAGTATGCGCATGAGATAATGAGAGAATGCAAGTTTCATGGAGATTGTGCTACAATTGCAACTAAGAGCTTGTATTTTTTTGAAGCCATAGCTGGGCAGTGCTTTTGTGGTGCTAGACACGATACAAAGCAGTGAATCGAGTCGAGGGGGAACTGAGTGATGGATGCACACTGTGTGTCGAGTGTTGGAAGTTCCATTTCTGAAAGCAGCCCATGTGCATGGATTTCCTTCCCACCCCACCTCCATGCTTTCAATCTGGGGCGTAATATTCATCTTTTTAGGGTCTCGGATACAATGTAATTGTAGTAGTTTCATCGATCCTGCACCCGTGACCGATTTACCGACAGTTTTACCGACACGTTGGATGTGAGTCGGTGGATTGTGTTTTGTTTTTTTGACATTAGAGGCACATTCATTCATGGGATTTAAACCACCAACTTTGGAAAGATATGGTTAGATAAGTTAAAGTCATTATGGGAGGAATATGTTTCTGAAAAAAGAATAGCTTGATTTTTTTGTAAGATAGCCCTCAAAGTCTCTATACAGACTCAATGTGGACTCTAATATTTTCTTTACATGAGAGTGTGGTAAATAGTATTGTTAAACTTAGATAGGATAAATGTTTTATTTCTTATCTGATATACTTTGTAATATTTGGATTTTCTCATAATTTTCCATAAATAAAATTTAAAAACTTTATTGGTAATTGTTTCAATGGATGAAAAGCATTATGTATAACACAATGCAATATATAATATTTTATTACTAGAAGTAAATAATAGATTATAAAATACCGAATTGCATATAATGAAAAAAATGAAGCACGTGATAATTTTATATATATATATATATATATATATATACATTTTTTTCTTATAAAATAAATAAATAAAGGATGAAAAACACATTGTAGAGCATAATGTTTGAATATGTCAAATAATTCCTATTTAATTTACATTAAGTTTCACTCATATATATATTTTTTTAAAAGAAGATATTGGTTATTTTCCTTTTTATTTTTGAAAACGTTTTTATAATAAAAATAAATAAATGATAATAATGTGTTTTAGAAGGGTTTTTACTTAAGTATAGTCAGCTTGCAATGTTGAGAGAAGAGAATTAACAGCCAACTTTTTACACTTACTACTCTTAATAAAGGTAGAGCAATGGAAAAATTCAACTTTAACTCACCATATAACAAATTGGTGATTACACTATTCCTCACACAATAAATAATTAATCAAGTTATTTTTGTGTTGTATATTTCTAGCTCGAGATGCAAATATGCTCTCGACGTAGGTGGTCATTGGAACTTCAAGGAAATGATTATAAAAATTCCAATTACCTAATGAAACATATTTATATATATATATATATATATATATGAACAAATAGTGGGATGGGATGGACATGATGGTGGTGACGATAGCGGGAGCACCATCTGCTGATATGGCACCATTTTTTTTGTTTTTTTAATCACAGAAAGAGACATTCATTGGTATATTGTGTTTGTTTGATTTGTTTTGTGTTTTTTTTTTCTTAATTGGCTGCCAAAAATGCACTCAGTATTGGCAAAGCCACTGGTTTAACCACTAGTACGTATGTAAATATATATTCTTGACATCTCTTGCTAAAATTTCAAATAATCATTGCTAAAATTTGAAATTTTAATTAAAAAATAAATCAATCAAACTAGATCCATCCTAAGTTCGAAAGATATTATTTTAAATAAAATTTATGAATGCAAAAAAAAAAAAAAAAAAAAAAAAAAAAAAACTTCAACCTCAATTATTCATGAAATTCTATTGGAGTTGTTTTAGCATATATTTTCAGCTAATATTCTATCATAAAATATCATCGAAAGTAAAAGTTTCTTTTTTCTTTTCTACTTTCCAACATTCTTTCATATCCTTCTCACAACGAGAAAGGTATTATTTTAGATGATCCTACCCAACAAGACAATATTTATTGTCATTTTTATCATTTTTATTTTAAAGTCTACTATCACATTTTCTTTTCTTTTTTATTTCATTTTCTTTTGTGGTGATGAGAGCATTTGCACAATCCTTGGTGGATATACCAACAGTAAAGATCCCATTCCTGGTTGAATTGTGACCACTAATTGCAAGCAATTAATACAAGGATTTGCTGATGTAAACATAATAGAGCGTAATTGGGCATCTGGTCTTGACGTTTGCTTGTGTAACAAACTATAGATTCATGATTCCCATTAATCATAAGTTTGTATGTGAATATGCTCTACATACTTACAATATGGTTTGAAGAATTCTGGCATCTCAATGAACAATAACTTCACATGTGAAAACAATTCATTCTCTTGACACACATCCCCATGGTTTCAAATTAAATGTTAATGAATAAATTTGGTATAAAGAAATTATTTTTTTAATAAAAACTGAAAAAAGAAAAAAAAAAAAGAAAAAAAGAAAAAAAAAAAACTGAAGATAACCGCTAACAACTTTGAAATACAGATATTTTGTCTACAAAAAAATTTAATATGATAAGTAAACAAAAAGCAAAAAACAAAATATGAAAAGTAATCACTTCAATACTTAACGAGTGAAGCTAAGGTGACAATGTTTTAAAATTTTTTAAAACATGAAACAATCCCAAAAAAGAAACATGAGTTAAGGTAGTTTTATGATTTCTTTTGCAAAAGTGCAAATAGAATTCTACAGTATTGTATTTAGTAAAAAAAGGAAATACACACAGGTAAAAATGGCATGTAAAACTATTTTGAAGATTGTATTTGTGCTAGTTATGGACACAATGAACACGTGAAAAATGAATTATCACAGAGGAGATTCAAGAGGCAGTGAAGAATATTGATAACAATGTTTTGGACTGAATGATGATTGAAAGCGTTTATAAAAATAGAGCCAAGAATTTGTTCAATCTGGTACAAATATCACAAAATAATTTTTATTATCATCTAAAAACAATAACATTGTGCAAATATTTCAAGTTGTAAAAATATTTAACATCCAATGATCGTGCTGGAAGAAAGTAAAACCAGCTTATATTAAAACTTCATAAAACATGATGTGTTTTCAACATATAATTCATTTCTAAACCACAATTAAAATGCACTTTCATCATCATAAATCTTCTTTGTTAAAATTTAAAAATTCTAGATATATGCTAAAGAAATCTCATGAAAATGAACAATAACATATATATATATATATATATATATATATTGTAATTTGCAACAAGTATGGGTAAGAAAAACCTTAATAAGTTGATACGGTTATTGTAGAGCAGCAACTATAAGTAAAATATTGGAACGTAGTAAAAATAATCAAATGAGTGAATCATTTCTAACTTTTTCTTTTGTTTATACAATTTTTACATACTGTTCTCGAGAGTATTTCACATAAAAATAAACATGTGTTAAAGATGAAAAAAAAAACCATGATAATACATTTAATCATTTGTGAATAATTACAACAACCAAAAAACCAAAAACTTGGGTATTTTTTTTTTTAATATTTTTACCACTTTTTTGTCATTGTACTTTGCCATTTGGGAAGCCTACAATATATATATATATATATATATGACCATTTTCGAATGGAAACACTTGCATACAAACCTACTACCTAACAAACTAGTAAAAAAAGTCCTAATAATTCTTAATTCTCATGCATAAAAAACAAGCATTCATGTCACCAAAGAAATATAATAGCATGCCTCACAATTCATTTGGAAGCTATTTAAAAAATTAAATAAAAATGTGTAAGATCATTTTTTAAAAATCTTGTGGATATAAGTAATAGAAGTCTCATATAATTGTTTTGGATCTATACTTGTGTTCCTGTTACTACCCACAATTATATTTTGGCCCATAAATAAAGTTCATAAGTACTCACTTGCAGTCAAATCACAATTTATAATTGATAGAAAATATAATTAATTACTACTTGTGACATATCTATGCCGAATAAAGAAATATTAAAAAAAACATTGATAGACTTGTAGATAAATGAAATCATTGCAATGTGTAAAAAATTACAAAACATGTCACAGCATGTTTCAAAAACTATAAACAAATAATAAATAATAAAGTGTTGCATTTTATGCAACTTTTGGAGCATTCTAAGTAAACACAAGGTCTTTTATTTCTGCTTCTATTTCGTGAATCACATCCATAAAGACGGAGGTCAAGGACTAAAGAATCCGTTTTGAATAGTGAAGAAACCTCATATTGTATTTTAAAACCAACTAATAATATTTGTGTGAGGCAATCAGGTCTTTTTTGTAATCATTTATTCAAGTTGAAATTCTAAATTATATCAGAGATGTATATAAACAAAATCGAATTATTAATCTTTTGTAATTTTTTATTTTGAATCAAAAGATTCTACACCATTTATCCTCCAATCCAAAAGAAAGAAAAACTTGTGTTCAATAAGAATGGTGTGTTGATCACTTTTTCCAATACTCAAAATAAATAAAGAAAAGAAAAAGGGGTGTACAGATCAGATCTACCCTCCAACACCAAGTTAACCTAAAACTATCACCTTTCCATGGAGCCTATTGGAAACATTAAAAGTCAAAACTTAATTTTGTAAGCTGTACTTTGTGGAGGACCATCCACTAAAACAATTTTCAACATTTTTAACACAATTACTTGCATTTTTAAATAGTTCAACCATAGAGAGGAAACATTAACACATTAGAGGAAGTACTTGGTGATTGTAGAACATAATGCTTTTTCTTTTATAGTTTTAGTATTATATATATATATATATATATATATATATACCACAACTTGCCACCCACCACATGCCATCACAATTTTAGCTAATGCCACCACAAGCTGCCCTAAACTCATGTTGCACACCACAATGCATTTCATGAAATAATGCTAACACACACCACAATGAATAAAAGAGTATATTCTTTACAAATGTGTATTTTAGTGTTTCATAAAACACATTGTGGTGTGCAATGCAAGTTGAAAAGAACTTATGGTGGCGTTAGTAGAAACTATAATGGCATGTGGTGAGTAGCAAGTTTTGGTGACAAGAGCAAAAAAAATTATGGTGGTATTAACAATACTATATGTGTATACATACTCCAAGAGACAAAGGAGCATGTGGGACATGAACCAGTTGTTGAGCTGGCAATTGACTCATGTCCCACACACTCCACCTCCATGTCCTCCTCAGAATTGCGGGTGAATTCATGTAAGGGGCTTCATGTCACCGTCTGACAGGGCAGGGTGGGGCCCATTCATTGGGTCCTATTACGAGGGGGGCCATCATTCTGTCCCTCAAGTGCTGCTGCTGGTGGGTCCCGGCAGTTCCTGCGTCCCCCAACCCCATGTCCCCCGGCTGGGTATGATAAATGAATGTTCCCTGGTCATTGCCTGTATTCATTCATCCTATCAACCATCCATTCTCCCTGTCACCCCATTCCCAGGTTGAGGGACAGAGACCAGTGATCAGATGCCAGGTGGATATTTACTGTACACTCTGCCACTGCCCTGCAATTACTCTTGTATTACCCCATGTGATTATTTTTTATTTGTCAGGTTTAGATCTGACGTGGTTGCCGAACCTCAGCCGAACCAGTGTGGTCCGGTTAGCTTTTGCTCTCAGGTTGGGTTTGTGGTTTTAGAGATGCCTTAAGTTTAGGTCAGCTCCATGTAAGTTACCTCAGAACATGTCCCTCGGTCCTCTCTGTTTTGATGAACGACTAAGGACTCTAACAAACAACAAACCTCGACAATGCCGATGTGAAGGCAACAATTAGGGCAACGGAACGTGACTGTGATCAAAGGTGTGCGAGAATCATCCAGCTGCGCTATAACTTTGCAGGAAATATTTATTGAGATGAAAATCCATCCATTGAAGCTTTCTAAACTGGCAAATGAATGCGGCGAGACAATTGTCAAGCATCATCATCACCCTGATTTTCCAGTCTGTGTTCACTTCTCCCGAGAAATAAAGCAGATTGGGATCGTGTGAAGGCTTCGAATAAGACCCACAAATTTGAATTCAAATTTTGAGTTTCTTTCTATTTTTGGCGATTTAACAATAATACGAAGGCATTTCTTAGATCAACAATCACACTAGAAAATAGAAATCGAATTATGACAGAGGAGAATAAAGTCACAAACAGAATGTAGGGCGCTTAAAAAAACGGAAAAGAAATCACTGTAGGATCAAAAGCAGGTGGTTTTGCATGTGAGTGACAATGTGTAAATCGAAACATACAGCCGTCATTCTATTTCGGGTTTTGAATTATGATCAATTTCATACTTGAAATATTGTGTCATAGTTGCTGATTTTCTTTTGAGAACACGAAAAACGCCTATCCAGGTAGACAAGGTTCCATCGATGTGAAAATTAAAAGGGAAAAGAGGGGAAACTAATGGTAACCTTACAAGGTGATAATAAATTATTCTCGTGGTCTACACCCACCGCAAGTGTTTCGACATGCTGGTACTACAAGTAAAAACCTTTGAAGATTTACGCTTAAAAATGGAGTTGAACTTTACACGGAGAGAGCTTTGATGACGGAGGACCTAAACTCTAGAAAGATCCAAGCGATTTAGACAAAAGGAAGAGCATAATATACAGAATGGAACTCTGTCGGGAAAGAGGATGGATGACTGATAGTGAAAGGCAAAATCCATGATGGATGAAATTCAAATGACGGGCGGGAACTCGTGGAGCGGGCATCTGATGGTGACTGGGTGAGGACTGACAAGGCCCTACCCCACCAGGCATGGCAGGGCAGGGCATCGCTTCGCTCCTAATTTTATCCCCTTTTGAATTTTGAATAGGGAGGCTACTCCTCAAGCTTCACAGTCACTGCGCCATGTACAATTCCACGAGAGGTGAATCACTCTCGTCAGCATGCGTGCAATTCTGACATGGGTTTTGAAACGTTCCGTGTAAGGCGGTGGAGGTCTGAAGCTCTGGCTTGCTGTGATGAAAAAAGCGGTTGTTCCCCTAGGGATCAAAGCATCGGGAGGAGTCGTTAGTCCTCTATTATGAGTTTTCAAAAGCAACTTTCGCTTGTCAGCATGAATTCATCACCCGTTTTGTTCCCCCTTTTTTTTGGATCTCTTTGGACTCTTGTGACCAGGTTATTTTTTTCATTTCGAGGTCAGAGTGGGAGGAAGGTTCATTCAAAACTTTCTTGCAGCATGAATCTCGCTCATCGCCGTTGAGATTTGTTACCTACACTCGTGCCGAAGGTTTCTTGCTCGAATTTTAAACGCAGGTCTTCGGTCCCCGATCGTACAAAGCCTTGGACCTCTCCACGGAACGTCTGATGTGATGAATTTTCTGTGCTGATCAGAATGATATGTGGGCAGCGTGTATTCTTCTAGAATCCTTTCAAGGAGCAAGTAGAGTGTATTACGATTTCGTTGTGTTCCCGCGTTGGTTTCGCTGGGATGTTAAGATTCAGAGTACATACTGTCGATCAGTAGAACTTTATGGGGAGACTGTACGAGTGATTACCTCCTGTCTCTTTAACTTGCGACAAGCTTCATTACTGGAGGTGACATAACAATGATGATAGGGTGGATTGATCTGACTGATGAAAGTTACAGTTCTTGAAATTGCTTGCAGTGAAATGCAAACGGTGAGCTGCGAACCTGAAATTGTATTAGAGATTCTCCGTTGTCCACTGTCGAGAAGAGTCTAAGACGTGGAGCTTGTTGTCGAATTGCGCGAGCCTTCCTCTAGTGAATAGGACTTGAAAATCGACATTTTCAGGGCTTCACAATTCCCTCACCATTATTGAGTTGGTGCTCTTTCTGCCCGCGCTTCTGTCTGGTTCATGGGCAATGCTCAATCTGACCATGGAGAGCTGAGCGGAAATAGAGTATTGACTACTTGGAAGAATTGATTTGTGCAAATCGACAAGTGGCTGTATTCCGTCCGGGATTATTCCTAGCGTTTTCATGGCAGATGTTAGATCGCCAATTCACCACTTCGCGCAGTCTCCTAGAATCGGAGGTTGCACCGGAGCTCTCTCACAACTTTTTGACTGGAATCTCAGCAAAGCTCGCTGTTCTTCTACCAAGCGCCTTCCGGCAGGTGTGTTTACATTTTACTGCACATCTCCGAATTTAAGTTATTTGAAAAGATATGCCTAGGTTTCCTTAGACATCCTGCATTGTACATGATTACTGAATCTGAGTCGGCTCTACCTCGGAAGTCTACAAATTTATGTGGAGCCTGAGATTCATTCGTGATGCTTGCACCACGTTGATATTCCAAGGTTTCAGGAATTCTCCTCAGATCTTTTGCCTAGATATAGCCTCAACCGTTTGGTGGCGTAGGCTTTTTAGTTTACTGTTGCTTCATTGGTGTGTTGCTGACAACAATGTTTCGCTGAGCAGTCCGTTTAGACAAGTCCCTGGAAAAATCTAAGAGCGTCCGGGATGATCGCAACTCGGACGTCAGAAATGACGTGCATCAATGTTCCTCACGAGTTACCGAGAGCTCCCACGAAACGAATTGCGGAGTCTCAATCTCTCCTAAAATTGAGACTTTTTCAAAGCCCAAGAGTCCTGGTTCCAAACATCAACGTTCACGAAATTTCAGTGGTGTTGAGTCGGTGTTGCAAACGGAGAAGGATAATGTTCCGAAGAAATTGCCATTGCGAGAGTTGTCGTCATCAGAGCTGAATTGCGTAGACAGATCCTTGGAAGATAAGGCGCATGTAACTCCTGTTGAGTTCAAGAAGCAGCACGAGAAAAGAGTAAGAAAGGGCTCTTCACAGACTCCAGTTAGCACCTTTGTGCCATATTTGGGGTCCCCAACAGGATCTTGCCGTTCTGTCTACACCCTGCCATATAAACAGAAGGGCGAGAAGTCACCATTTGTATCGCGCTTACATCCCAGCCCGGTGTTGCAGCCATCGAAGGACCACACTCAGAATATCACTCCATCCAGTGGTGCCAGAATTGGAAGACGGGCTTCTCGATTGCTTGAAGCTGCCGTGAAGATTTTGGAAGAGATTTCTGATAGTGAGCAATGCATGAGGACAGTCTCGGAACTAAGCCCTCTCTCAAGTGGCGATGATTTGCTGCATTGTCCGTCGATGCGAAAAATGTGGAACGACATCAAAGCCTTATCTTCAACCCACGGTGTGAGAAATAGATCTTTCATAAGTCATGAGTTGGTTTCTCATCGGAAATTGCACAAGAAAGATAGGGTGAGCAGAGACAATTTTGATAATTATTCATTAAATTCTAATCAGTCAACCGAGATGAAAGCTTTAGGAATCCTGGGAACTCAGGAGGCCTCTGTCAGGAGTTTCAAGGTAAGTGTTGGAAAGCATTCAGCAGGCGCCCGAAAGGACAGGGGTGAGTCAATGGCGAGCACCACAAATAGTGTTCCACATGTGCACATAATAGCGGCAGACAATTGGGAAAGAAAGAGGCTTGATGCTACATCTAAAGCATGCCCAAGTGGTTTGAAGGAAAAGCATCCGTACATTTCTGACGTAAAATCATTTACACCTCAGCTCTCCTGCAAAGTCAAGTCGGAAACTTCCACCACCCTCCGTAATAGCCAACGTACAATTGGTCAGGTGGACGATTTAGAGCTATTAGTGTCCCCAAAGAGACAGGTACGAGGAGTTATTGAATTAAAAGCAAGATCGCACCTCCAATCTAAATCACGAAGTGCAGCCTCAGCGACGCAGACAACTAGAAAGAACGGACATGGGTCGCAGAAAGACATGAAGGGTTCAGATCCCCCAGTAGTTGTTCTGGGAGGCGAGAGGAGAACATCTTCATCAAATGGCGACCACGGAATAACGAATTCTGAAGCAGATGTCAATCTAGAAACAGAAGAAATCGTATCACGAAATTCTCCTGTTCTCACAAAGAATTTTAAAGGAGGAATCAATTTTGCCGAGAAATCAACCATGGGAACGATGGATTATGGTGGTAGTGATAATCCTCTCCACCAGGACAGTATTTTGCCCAATACGCTAAACGACGGAGGATGCAAAGCCAACTTGTCTGGTGCACATTGTAGTGGCTTTGAGTTTAGGTTCCCAGAATTTGCTCCTGGTGGTCCTCAGAGTCCTCGTCAAACTCATTGTGCGGTAAGAGATCTTTTAGAAGTAGAAGATAGTGGACGCCACAGAGGCCGGCAGGAACTCGGTTACTCTGAGGAGTTGCTATTACCGGGAGTGGAAGATTTCCAATGGGATGATAGGATGGCTCATGTTGTAAAAAATGCCTCCTTCCGTGCCAAATATTGCGAAACTCGTACTTCTGGCGAATCGTTGCAGTCAATCTACGGCACATTGGATGAAGATGTCTGCAACGTTGACGATGGAAGCTGGCCATTGACCCATGATGTATGGTTCCTCCCTGCATTTATGGCCTGGAAAGGCCGCACTTATTTTACGTTCGCTTTCTTCCTCTATGACTGGACCTTAGTGGTGTTATCATATGGCTAATCTGCACTAGTGTTGATTCCTATAATGTTACGCAGTTTGCAGAGGAACGTTTTGGAACCAATAGTGATGGAGAAACTTCAACGCCAATCACTTTGAAGCGTTTTCAAGGCAACCCTTCAGGTGCGGATGTAGACACGCAGGAGACCAGCCCTGTATCCGTCTTAGAATGGCCAAATTTTCAAGACGAATGTTGCACTACATCGGCATCCAGTACTACAGGTGCTGATCTTTCTAATCAGTCTCCTCATCTACTTCATATCAAGAACTTCATACATATCCATCCAACATCTCCTAAGTTTTATTTTCACTTCGCTTGGTTCATTTTCACATCCCTTCCTTGCATCTGACCGAACAAATATGTCATAATATATTGCAGTGTCGGAGCAACGTGTGGATGAATCATTTCAGGAAAATGCCCACGCTATGGATCTCTCAGAGTTACTTGCTGAACTTGAACGCGAAATGGACTTGTTGGAGTCCAGGTATAAATTTGGCGGTGTGTCAGAATGCGCAAAGGAAACTCATGCCGATTTCGATGAAGAGAAACATTTCGTTCGAGAAGTGCTTTCGGCTGCCCAGTTACTATCTAGTCCAAGTCGCTCACCAACATGGTGTGGAGGGACTTTACCAGTGGATCCATCTCTCTTACGTAACCTAGAGGGTGATGTGAACACTTACCAAAAGGATTTTAGCACTGGGAGTCATGAAAATTGCCCCATCAAATCAAACGGCAAGTGGAGATGCGATCGAATGCTTCTCCTCGATTGTGTGAATGAGGCACTTTTTCAGAATGTCTTTCGCTACGAAGACCCGCAGCCATGGCTGAGAAGTCCAGTTCTTAGAAAACGGCCAGTCGGACAGGAAATGGTCGAAGATGTCCAAGGGAAGATACAAGGATGGCGGGAGCTTGCATATCATGCCATTGACACTCTGATTGATATTGATATGAGTAGTGGAGTTGGTAAGTGGACAGATTTCAGTGAAGAAGTAGCTGAAATTGGGATCGAAATTGAAAGCATGCTTTGGAAATCGATGATTGCAGAGGTGGTGCTCGACCTTGCAACCATTACACACTGAGCCGGAGCTGCATCATGGTCAATTTTTTAATCATCGTCTGGTGAACGATCGCTCTCCAACCCCGGACTAGAAAATCAACTCAAGTTGTCAACGTTGAAAAAAAATTAAGAAAGGATGAGGAGTTCGCTAACTGAGCGAGCTCGTTGTAGCATTACTATGAGCGGTCGACCATCTTGACGAAATACACCGCCCGATCGAGACTATTTCAATATTGAAATCGCGTGCATGGAACTCCGAACTGTTTGATCTCGTTCGACCTTCACACCAGGCACACAGGTTCCACGTGAGTTTCCAGAAAAATCAGAGAAGAAGGTAGTTGTTGATTGTGTGAACACACTAACACATGGACTGTGGCCACAAATTGGGGACGTTGTATAATAAGGGCCAAGAAACGACATTTTATCAGAGGAGAAGATGTAGCGCTGTGGCAGTTAGTACCTGCGGAGGCAATCATACGGTTCGACATTGCTCATCTTTTCTTCGCTGTATGCACCTGAAGCAACGCAAGTAACCCCATCTCCAAAGAGATCCGTTTGGTCTTGTCTTATTCATAGATACATGCACAGAGTTCGCTAGAGTTGCTGGCAGACAAGAGAACCCAGCTTGGAAAACCAATTGTTTACCTTGATGTCAAGGGGATACCGCTTAGGATTCGCAATGGAGCAGCAAGTCATCTTGGCCTACATTCTCTTGGGGTTCACCCACTTTATTTTATTTTATTTGGTTGTGCTTCTGCTATTCAACATGGTATTCAAGCTTGATCTTTAAATTCCATCTTTACATGTAAAACTTGACCAATCTTAGACCTGGATTTGGAAACACTATAACTCCTAAACATATACCTTGAGCAATTAACTTGTCTTTGAGTAAAACTGTTTAGGTGTAACAAGAAATTCAAATACAAGAGTCTTAAAAATAATGAACTTGAGCAATTAGTTGAGAAAATTGTGCAAAATATTTCACTTAGTATACTTACATATGTTAAGAATCCAAATATGTAGGTTGCAAAACTTGTAATAATATATATATATATATATATATATATTTGGTTCATTTATCATATGATTGATTTACAACAAAGAAAAGAGAATAAGCTTTAGGTAAAAATGAATCTTAATTCCTACAAAAAAAAAGACTAAGATTTATATAATTGTTGGATATTTTTGTAGAACTTAATTTAAATATTATAATATCTTAAATGAAAAGCTTCTAATATGTAAATAGTTTAGAATTAGAAACATTATAAGCATGAATATATGTATTCAATAAACATAAAAGGAACAACTAATCTACATTAAGAACTACATATCTTGTTAATTGGTAATAGAATGATATAAATTTTTTATTTTTAAAGATTACTAAAAAAATAAAATTAATAATTTTTTTTTTTAGCAAGAATGCTTTTTAGATTCAAATAAAGTATTAAATCTAATGATTCAATAATTTTTTTTTTATAAAAGACTAATTTTTTACAAAAAAAGAAGTTATATTTATATATAAAAATAACATATATATATATATAGTTTTGGAGCTAAAAAATCATTTAGTTTTTAAAATTCTAAAAATAATTATTAAAGTATTCAAAAAAGATGTTACAACAAAATTGGAATAAAATAATAATATTTGAAAGAATCTTAATAAATTAAAAAATATTATTATTTTAAAGATTGAAAAAATATACATATATACATTAATAAAAATATTTATAAAATATATATATATTGAAAATCTAAAAGGAACAACTAATCTAAAGGAATATGTAGATTAGTTGTTTTTTTTAGTTATATAATTATATAATACATATATATATATATATATATATATATATATATATATATGTTACTAATATATATATATATATATATATATATGTTACTAATATATATATATATATGTTACTAATATATATATATATATATATTGAAAATTCTAAAGTACAATTGAACAAATCCATAATGTAATATTCATAACAAATAATCAAGAAAAAATTGAAAACATATCTAAAGATGGTATTAATAATAAAAAAAAATTAGAATATTTTAGTTATAGATATTTATATTACAAAAATCAATTATATAAAAGAAACTCGTAATATTCTATAAAATCTAAATACAGAGGACTACTTCATACTATGATTATTTGATCAAGCAAACTTTGGACAATTCTATTAAAAATTAGGTAAAAAGCTAATATGAAATTTAATAAAATATAATAAATATGACATTTGGCTTGTTTGTATAATTGAGAATTATCTAATTTTAATTTTTTAGTTTAATTTCTTGTCAAGCAAATAATTCTTTGGTCCTATAATTGCCATAAAATACTATTATGTAGATACTTTTGATTTAAATAACTATTGGTTGTTCATCTCCAATATGAGAGTTGAGCAATCAATTTTTTTTTTATATCACAAACATAATTATTTACCTAGTTAAGAATTATTAGATATTACTTAGATAAATGTAAGTAGTTTTGGTAATATATTATAGCAAAGCTTCTTAAAAGTTTCATAGATGCAGATTTGATTTTAGACATGTTTATAGTTGATTAATAGATTAAAAACTTGATCAACAAGTTAGCTACATGTTATCATGGACATATACATGTAAACCAGTAATTATTTATATAAATAGATAGAAGTAAGTAGAAGTGGAAAAAAATAAGTTAATTCTATAATATCTTCTATGGAAGCTTTCTAGAAGCTCCATTGATGCTACTTTAACTTTATAGGTGTCTTTAATTGACTTTTTGGATTAAGAACGTAGTCAATAAGTTGGCTATGTACCACACATTTGTTAACTTGAAGACCAAGCTAACTATGTGGCCCACACGTAGAAAAACTTGCCTTGTAAGTCAAGGTATGTGTCCTACAAAGTCAACACACATTGGAGGTCCTATAGAACATTGTGACATAGTCCCTAGTTAGATAGTATATATAGAGACAAGAATGAAGCCCTCTTCGCTCTTGTCAACTCTTTTCATGCTTCTAGTCTAGTTTCAAGAGTTTCAAGTTTTCTTGTCTTTTGGCAATAAACCTTTCCAATTTCTTGTAATATACGTACTTCCTTATTTCTATTTTTTCACTCTTTCTTTGATATGGATTTCATTGGTTAATGTATCATCTTTTAGTTCATGTCCTTCACATATTGACAAAAGTACACTTACAATATGAGAGCTTTGTCTTATCTTGATTAAGAGTGGATTACCTCTTTCTCATGATAAGAAGTAAGCTTATTAGAAATTACAGATTACCTTCTTCTAAACTGATAATATTCTTAATATTTTCTTTGTTCTAAAGCCCTTTCTTCTATTTATCTTGAGTAGTATTAGATATTTTTTTGAGTGTTATTATGGAAGAACTTCTTGAAATGAAGAGTGCAATGGCACAAATGCAAGAGCAATTGAGAGAATTGATGTTTGCGATGCATCAACTTAGCTTACTACCACAATGATCAAGAAGAATGGTAAGAAGTGAGGATATAGAGTTGATTAGAAGTGCTTCAACATCTGTACCAAATCATATCCTTTAAGTGTTAGAAAACCAAGAGTTGCTTTGGTTGAAAAGTTTGATGGTATAAGATCCAAATTTTGAGGATTTATCAATCAAGTACAACTTGTGATTGAACTTCAATCTTAAAGCTAATCAACTCTACGATCACAAGTTAGATTCATTGATATACTTCTTTCAAGTTCAGCACTATTATAGTTTTCATCTTTTCTTGAATGACGAGATCCAATATTAGATAATCTGGAGGTATTTTTGGCAAAATTTTAGTCCATGTATGGAGAATGATGCAACTTGTGTTACAACCAACAAGCTCCATATTTTGCGACAAAGCAATTGATGTATAACATTATATGCTTCACAATTTTTACAACTTGCAACTGATATCAAGTGGGATGATGCTGTACTTATTAGCCAATTTCTCTATTGATTACAATATGAGGTAAAAAAATTGATGCTCAACCTACCTGATCCTCAAACATTGAGTCAAGCAATTGACTTTTCTGTGAAATGTAATAATCTACTTTTTGAATTTTGATATGAGAGTCGCACAAATAGACCTCAATATTACTACAATTTAATAGCACTACCAACATCCCATCCGCACATATATTAAAAAATAGAAGATATATAAATTGATGCAATACATTTTAAACCTCTTATTGAGCAAAAAAAGACTCATTGTCATCAAGAAGGATTATACTTATATTGTAGAGAACCTAAATACACTACTCAATATTATTCAAAGAAGCAACAAAATCACAAAATGAAGAGCACATCTGTCAAAGAAGATAAGTGTTGGAAAACAAATTTGTCAAACTACAATAAGGACCGTGCGGTTAGAATCTTATACAATTTCTAATGAAGGTCCTATCCTCTCCTCAAAACCCTCTCCTTGTTTTATAATAAATGTTCATTTAGGACCTAATAATTTAAAAGCCTCTGCCTTGATAGATTCAGGAGCTTCAATTTATTTCTTAGACGTAGAATTTGTCAAAAGTCATAAAATATCATCAGTATAGAAAATCAAAGCTATTTATGTAGAAGTCATAGATGGTCATCCGTTGTCTTTTAAAGATGTTACTCATGAAACACTTCCTATATATGTAGCAATAAATAGTCATAGTAGTTGCATAATCTTTAATACAATTAGATCTCCCTCTAATCTAGTCATTTTAGGTTTATCATGGTCAGAAAAGTATAATCCTTACATAGATTGGATTTCTTCTATCTTTAACTTCTCTAAAAGCATAATTAAGAGTGAAATTAATTCAATAGAAAGTTATAAGTCTATTGTAATTAAACCTATATTTGTAGGTGTAAGAGCTTTCTTGCATGTTGCAAAAGAAGGGTCACCTTGTGTCATTTATGCCACACCTGTTTCTAATGATGCAAAGACTTCAAGTGGCATTTCCAACCAATATCAAGAATTTCAAGATGTATTTGAGAAGAAGAATGCGGATACTCTTCCAGAACATCGTCTCTATAACTACTCAATTGATCTTCAAGAAGGAGCACAATCGCCATTTGAACAAATCTATAGTTTATCACAAAATAAATTGATTGAATTCAAAGAATATATTGAAGAGAATTTGGCCAAGAATTTCATATGCCATTCCAAATCACCAACAGGAGCTCCTATCTTATTTGTAAAGAAAAAAGATGGATCATTGCGGATGTGTGTTGATTATTGAGGACTCAATAAGATCACCATCAAGAATAGATATCCTCTATCTTTGATATCTAGACTTCTCAATCAACTAAATCAAGGTAAGATCTATACAAAAATAGATCTATGGGGAGCATATAATCTAGTACGTATTAAAAAAGGAGATGAATGGAAGACTACATTTCGAAGTAGGTATGGATATTTTGAATACAAAGTCATGCCTTTTGGACTTACAAATGCACTGACAGCCTTTCAACATCTAATGAATGATGTTTTTTGAGAGTTTTTAGATGAATTTGTTATTTGTTATCTAGATGATATCTTCATCTATTTTAAGAATATAGATGAATATGAACTTCATATTCATTGTGTGTTACAAAAATTAAGAGATAAAGGATTCTTTGTCAAGATAGAAAAGTGTACTTTCTACACTACTCTAGTTAACTTCTTAGGATACATCATCTCAAATGATAGACTTATGATGGATTCTAAGAAAGTTCAAATGATTATGGATTGGAAGATTTCAAAAATAATAAGAGATGTCCAATATTTTTTGGACTTTGCCAACTATTATCGGATCTTCATCAAAGACTTCTCT